CCCTTCTTGACAAGTAATACCCGTCAAAAAAGGTTTTTTTTTTTTTTTTTTTTTTTTTTGGGGGCAAGTTGGGGGAACTTTTTTTCTTTTTATTTATAAACACTCTGTTTATAAACTACTTTTATCAAATATATTATCACATTATCCTTAGTTAATTTTAAAATTCCATCATATAACCTTATTTTTATATTTCAAACAAGTCATGCTTCTATCACTTTTCACTACAAAAATCTTCTTATATCAATTGAGACATGAATTGAATATTTTGATTGAATTTTTTTTTAATATAATTATAATTCATTATATTTGTTCACTAGTTTATTTTGCATAAAGAATCTAAAAATTATTCATATAAATTTTTAATATAATATTTGTCTATAAAATATTTGGAGCCCCTTTGGTTCACTATTATTACCCTATTCTATTCCACTATCCTATCTCAAAAACCTAAAAATGCATTTGTTTCAATATTCTCAAAATCCAATTCTACTTTATTCAACTCTCAAATATTAATAATTACTTTTCTCGTAAAGATAACCCAATTTTATTTTTTCTAAAATACTATTCTAAAAAGAATCAAAATAGTGAACCAAACACAGTGTTTATTTAATTATAAAATTAAATTATATTGTAATATGATCGAAATATATTTTGATAATATTACAGTAAAAAGTTGAGTTAATATAATTTATTATTTTATAAAATAATATAATACCCTTTTTAGTCATTTTAATAACAAAATGTATTTATAAGCCGCATTTTATCAAGCGTGTCAACAACTAATTATTAATCACTTATAAGTACTTTAACCAAACACGTAACTGTTTAAATTTTAAATGTTTATAAGCTCAAATTATCTTATAAGTACTAATTGTAAGCTAATTTTCTTAAGCTCGACTAAACAGGCTCTAAGCACATTGAACTTGATATTCACTTTTTGCGAGACATGGCGAGTAGTAAGCAACTAGAAGTTAGATATGTGTCATGTAAAGACCGAATTGCTGATATTCTAACTAAGCCCCTTACCACTCATCATTTTGAGTACTTTAAGAGAAAAATTGAATGTTGTTGAAAGATGTAAGAGCTTGAATGGGGATGTTGGAGTTACAAGATTTGCAATATACCAGAAGTGCAAGCTGAGAAGGCAGCTGATGTGGAGTAACAGAATGCCACATGGAGTAATAGAATGCCAGCTACACAAGTTAGTTAAGAGTGATTAAGTGTGTAGCAGGAATCACAGAGGCCGTTAGTGATGCTGTAGTCAGTTGAAGTATTTAGTATAAAAGCATAACATTGTACCGATATTTTTAAGCTGAACTTTAATAAAAATCTCTTATCTTTTTCTTAATTCTTTGTTTTCCATCTCATATCTTCCTACAAAAAACAATTCTACATTGTCTCGCTGTTTTGTTGGATGCACCTCGCTTCAGTAAAACCACTACACACATGCTAAAACTAACTCTTTTTCCACACCCTTATATAATAAATTTTATCTTCAAAGCCATTGCTCAGTTACAATTCTCTGTACAATAAACAAACAAAACTCATCAGCATCAACCTCGAAATTAGTTAAATAAAATAAAATAAATGTGATGTGCATGGATCGGACCGGTTAGATAAACCTCTTCAGTTCTAGTTGTTTCGAGTGAAGAAATGACCCCAAAAAATTCATTGTTATTATATTTGTGAAACGTTGACGCCACCCCATATTATTTATAAATCTTCATCTATAATTATATATGCTATTGGCTGTCGCATGTTCTCTTCATTTTATAGTAACAACTATCTCAAACATGCTGGGAACTGTCCCATTCTCGTTTACTTTATTCCAATTTAATCCAATATACTTAGCTGAATATAAATCAATCCTTGTCTAAGGAATTAAACCACTATGCATATGGCCACATAACCCACTAATTTTAAATATCGCCACTAGCCATCTTTAAATGTGAACATATATGTTGGCATCTCAAGCTACCAGCAAATACCAAATTTTTTCCAGCAATGTGCCAAAGATTATCTCAACCTACATCACATGATTCAATATAAAAAAAATTACTGATAATGGTTCAACTTACATACTTGATCATCCTTTAATAATTATATATCAAGTTATGTATCCAGAAGGATTTCCAAGATTCTATCACATGCTAGTTGGTATATAATTTTTGTTATTGGTTTGCAGAATCTAGTTATCTGTTATGACAGTTGTTGCCAAAACAACTGTAAATCTCTCTCTCTATATGCTTTGATGAACTAGATTTTCGATTCCAGAAACAAATGGAAGCGTTCATGTGTGTAAATATATATATTGACCAAAACTACATTAATGATTGATCTCAACTGTTTTAAATTATTGCGATTTTACCATTAACATAGATATGTGATCATCATGCGAAGGGGGATATACAGTAAAACCGTTCTATATTCATAATGGTGGGATCAACTAATTTTATTACTATAAGGAAGTTACAATTTAATAGAGAAGTAATTACAAAAATTATTGTTTTGATTTCTTATTTTATAATTCATGTTTTAGTTCTACAATATTAGGATTTTAATTCATGTTTTATTAGTATTAGAATTTCAATTCAGTGCTTCAATAGCTTACTTTTGAAATCGATAAAAGATCGTGTCTTAGAACCAATAAAGATAAGTGTCCTTGATGGAATTGTAAATACAGTTGTTGTATGGTCAATTGATGTAAAGCCATAGACAATTGCCAATTGTTTTTAAGCACTGCAAAATTAGGACCCTCGATGTCGATGAATTGCAAGTTACAAATTAATGAAGCGGATGAAGAGAATCAAAGAGTCATTGCAGAATTGCGTGATCAGATTCAACAATTTTACTACATTAATAGAATGGATATTAATATCTTTCTTAATCATCCAAATGAGCAACAAGACTTGTATGTTTTAATTGAAGAAGAAATTATTGCTACAATTAGATAAGAAGAGAAAGGAAATAATCGTAAGGATGATAATACCAAAATACAAAAAGTTTCATGCCGATAAACTCTAAACAACTTAAGAAGCTAGAAATATTTTGGCTTCAACAAGAAAGTGCTCATGCTAGCGAGTTATGTCCTCGTAAATTAAATGATGTGGTAACAACTTTAAAGCGTAAATCATTATTCCAAACAACTTTAGATAAATATTTTATTTTATCTTAAACTTTTAATATAATATAACATATATTTTTTTTTTTGGGCAATATATAGATAATTAATACTATGTAGAGACAATTTTTTTAAGGCGAGAATTAGAAAAATTATAACTTATTATAATATGGAATTTATTTTTATTTATAACTATTCCAAGTTGGGACTATAATTTTTTATTATTGGAGGTTATTCCTCTCTCTCTCTCTCTCTCTCTCTCTCTCTCATCTCTCCTCTCTCTATCTATATATATATATATATAATATATATAATATTATATTATATATATACACGTGTGTGCAGTGTGTGTGTGTGCGCGCGGTGTGTGCCGTGCACGCGCGCGCAAGGATGGAAGTTCTGGTAGCTTGGAAATTATTAAAAACTTTTGAGAGATGCTCATTTGAAATGAGAGTAATTAATGGCATGCACCTAGGTTGAATCATTTGATGACAAGAAACAGAGATTTATAGGAACTTAAATGGATATGAAAGTAGGTATAGTTGAAACGACTTGACAGCTATATATATATATAATATGAAATGGGGATACAATGTTAATGCTACTGGTTTGTAAACTCATGAAAAGGAATTTATTGTGTTACCCAAAATTTGATTAATTAATTGCAACTTGAGAGTTCAAAGTAAAAGAGGAAAGGTAAGGAGTATTGCTCAGTAAACTCATTGAGACTAAAATAGAAAAAAGAAGAATTTTGTTACAAGGGTAATTAAGCTAACATCATAAATGAGAACATTTATGTGTTGTATTTTATATTATAAATTTGGTTTGTTAATAAAGACTAGAAATTGTATGAAAAGAGGAGAGTAGTTCAGTTGAAGTAAGAAGTGAAGGCATCATGAGAAGGAAAAAGACTAAATAGAATGGGACTAAATTGTTTCCAGCCATCATGTTCTATGTATCGACATAACAATATTTCTTTTTCAAAAGCTGTAAAAAGCTCTTTGATCCACTAGCTAGAGATGGATGAGATTTGACTCACTAGTTGATATGACTACCTGGAGATGAGGTAAATCGAGTGTAACAATCAAGATATGATGAATTTATTTTTTACTCATCTTAATAGTCGGACTCAAGAACATCTCTCTCGATTCAAACCCAAGAATGAAGTTCCAAATTACATTTAAGTTGAAAGTTTAGTGATCGATGGATGAGGGCAAAGTAAAGGGAGTGGAGAGAGAGAGACAAGTATAAATGGGAAAGGTGGTAAAATAAGAGTACGGTTAAAAGAGAAGTGAGTTGGATGCTACAGAGTTGGTGACAGTGGGTCACATGAATTAAGACTAAAAAGAAAAGAGATCAGAAATCAGAAAGTGATTGCCAAAAGTTGGGTAGAATAGGTAGCTTTTGATACCATTCCATGTTTGTCAGCAGAAGTATCCCAACGTCTCCTTCACGAGAATGACCATTTCCAACTTTCCTTGTTTTCTTCTACTCTTTCATCTGTTTGTCTTCTTCCTCCCTCGGAATGTGTGTTTGATACTCTCTCTCTCTCTCTCTTCTAGTAGATTTGGTTCACCGTTGGGTTACCGTGTGCTACTCAATCATGAAATCAGCATAAATCATTTCAATGGACTTTCCTTGAAATCACTTGCAATCGTTTTTCTTCGTTAGTACAAGGACTTGGATTCCAAAGCAAGAAATAGGAAAAAATAAAATAAAATAAAAAGTTACATGTTTAAGGAGCGAAGAAAACCCCTTTTCTTTTTCTTCTAAATTTCATGACCCATCCTGCATTTTTTTTATATATAGATTTAGGTGCCCATAACCCAATATAATCCAATCAAGCAAACATAATTCTCTTTCTCAGTATAATTAATTAAGGAAACAAATTAAGTATAGAACTCAAAGACACAACTCTTTATTACTTCATAAAGATCTTCAGCCCTAATGAAAACTCAAGTTGATATATTCTACTTTAGAGGCCACTCTAATAAATAAGTACCAAAACATGGACTGGAAACCCATAGAATAATATAGTAATAAATTGCCTGGCCTCTTGGTTTAAAACATTGACAAACTTAGCAAATGGGTATATTACAATTTGACAGTACTTGGGATCGTAGTTGAATTTATAATTTCAACTGAAATGTTGATGCTCCAACCATGGCCAAAATCCGGACTGATCGTCCATGCCACAGAACATGCTGCTAAGACTTTCTTCTTTACCCATCTGGAGGTCAGGCCTTGACGTGTTGTGGTTGTGGAAAAGTTGAGCCACTCCTGTTGGAGTTGGCCTCAATGATGAAGATGAAGTTGGGAAAAGAGGTCTACTTGTTGGATGATTAGATAGAGGGCTGTCAATAGCTGGTCTCCTTGAGATATCCAACTTTATATCTGAACTGTTCTCACTTCTATTACTGCAAGACCCCTCAGTTTCTTTATTCAGATTAATCGATTCAGTAACTTCTCTGCTTTTCAGTGCCAATATCTGTAATCATAATTAATTAAATTAACCAATAAAAAAAATAAAGCTTATAGCTAGAGATGTATGCTAAATAAATAAATAATATTTCCTATATTTCAATTAATAGTTACCTCTACTGAGATTTATATTTAAGAGAGATCTTCAAGTCATGGTTAGTCCTTATTTTTAAAATTATAATCAATCAGTCCTTCAAAAAGTTAAAGAAATGATGAGAGAAAAAGAAGCTTTCCCGAAAAGCCTTCAATTGGTTGAAGAAGCTAACAGAAATAAAGGTTCTTAAAATCATTAACCAAGTAAAGTCAAAAACAGGAATCATAAAAATAAGAATTTGATTTCCAACTTTATTCTACAGAATCAATGCAAACTCATGCAAAAAAAAAAAAAAAAAAAAAAAAAAAAAAAAAAAAAAAAAAAAAATTATTATGACTAACCTCAGCATGAAGCTTCTGGTTTTGAGCTTGGAGTTCATCATTATCTGCTTTGATGGCTTCATATTGTCTCTTGAGGAGATCATAGTCTTTCTCAAGTTGTTTGGTTTTCCACCTAGCCCTTCTGTTTTGGAACCAAATAGCGATCTGTCTTGGTTGGAGACCAAGAGCCCTAGCCAGCTGCATTTTTCTCTCAGGCTCAAGTTTGTTCCCCAATTCAAAATTCTTTTCAAGGGTTTTTACCTGCTCCATGTTAAGCCTCCTCTTCTTCTCTCCTGCCTGTGACCCATCATCAGACAAATCATCCTCTCCATTTGCTTCTTCACCAATATCGATTCCTGAGAACGACATTGATCGCTTTCCTAGAAACGATGCAACCCCTGCACCAAAAATTAATTTTATTAAAATCTATAATAGTACATAAATACTGTACACAGTACATGTGTCGTGTGTGTGAGTGAGTGAGAGAGAAAGAGAGAGAGCGAGTACCATGAAAGTCTTGAGGTGTGCATGATGATAGAATTGGATTGAGAGAGGTGGGGGGTTGATGATCATCTTCATGAGAAGTTTGTAGCATGAAATTTGTTGGGAAGAAAGCCATCCCATTGCAAGTCATGACCTAGCTAGACTTGTGCCACAAATCTTAAGAATTGTGGTGAGAATCTCAGGTTCATGTTCAAACTAGAGAAAGGATGAAGATTGTCAGAGTAAAAGAGATTTCAGTGTAGGGAAAGGAACTGAGAGAGACTTGATAATTCAGAGATGAAGAAAAGGTGGGATGGATATATAGCTTATATACCTTATCAGTTGCTGGGAAGAGATTACTTGTTTCAGTTTTTATATATAAAATTATATTTCGAGAGAGAGAGGAAAGAGGGAAGGGAGAGTGAGGATGAGATGTTTGATAATTCTATAGTTCTACTTCTCTTTATATGAGGAGGAATTTCACTTGCTGTTTTTGCTTTTTTTTTTTTTTTTTATATATAACTAATTAAGCTGTTGGAAAAAAAAAGAATTATACACTTGTACTTGAACTCTCTATATTAAAAACAAAATAAATTTTCTTCACAAATTTTTCTTTACAATCTTCCCTTGCTAGCTATATGGCAATACATCACCTAGATTAAAAATATATATATATATATAATAATAATAATAATAATAATAATAACAGCAACGGAATTTTAACAGAAAGCGAAATTACCAATTGGTGTTAAATTAAACTTGATCAGAGGTTAAATGCAAAGGGAGAAAATTAGTGGTAATTTTTCTTAACCGTTGGTTGTGGTCCAGGCATTCTTAAGAGACAAGTAGTGGTGTTATCTTAATAAAGACAGTTGTCTTTTAACAAAAATAAAATTTAGAATAAGAAGAAAGCACTTAGAATGGATTGTCAAAGGGAGAGGGGGAGTGTGGTCATTTTTAAAAGCCACTTTTATATGAAGTGGGTGATGAGTTAATATAAAGTATGTTGGTTATAATTCAGTGATATTGATGAATGGTAAATTAAGTAGATCAGAGTAACAACGTTGGATAACATATGTTGTGTTAATTGAAGAAAGAGATGAGGATACTTAAGATGTAAAAAGGATTGAAATTTGAGAGAGGGAGAGAGAAAGGGCAGGAATCTAGGGATGGGTCCAACGAGAGGGGCAGGGTTTGCTACCTAACCCACCAACAGGTATCGTGCATTAAGACGAACCTCTTTCCAATCCATTATCCTCTCATCAGTTTCAGCTATGTTGTTGCATTTGAAAGAAAGAACGAAAGAGAGAGATGAGGGTTTTGAAAAGCCCAAGCAAAATCCCTGTTCTAATAACCCTACAAGAGCTGGTCTTTTTTGTCTCTGTACCCACCCTCTCTATCTCCACTCTTTCTCTCTCTTCTGCCACTTCCCACCACCCTTCTGCGACCCCCGTCGTCATGTCCAATCCCACACTCTATTTTATTTACATGTATCTCTTGCTTGTTACTTAAGTTTCTAATTGATGGAATTTGCTAGATATATATGATTATTTAATAGATATATATAACACAAAAACGTACGTGTGGCTTACAAAATTCTAGGTCTCTAATTAATTTGCAAACTTATGACTGTGCATTCATGATGATGAGATGCAGCTAGCCATCATGCATATATATGCATATGATGATCGATCTGAAGCAGGGCCACCCATTGAAGCATCTTTAAACTGTGCAATATTCAATTTTGGTTTCAAAATTTTCCTACACAAGTTGTCATTCTGACGTGCTTTACGCTAAGCTATAAAAGTCAAATATGTTGCTTTCGATGGACAGTCACAAGATGTCCCCTTCGTAATCTATCAATATTCGATAGAGTCTTCTGGGCTATCATTCTCCTTAACACCTGTTACACTGTGGTAGTGTGGTCTACGTTACAAAACTAGTGTGCCATCTTAACCTTTTTATATGGTCTCTCAACCACTCTTCTTCTGTTAATCTCTCTTGTATTATCATTATTTTTAATTTTTAACCTCTTTTTCATTTCTCAATTATCTATCTTGATTCTTGAGGGTATTTATTTTGGTAAAAGATGAAGATGATTATGATGGTAGCTTTCATTCATGTATATAAACAACAAATGTGTGTAAGAAGTTCATACCATTTTTTTTTTTAACAGTTTATGATCATAGAGACTACGTAGGTCAATCGAGGATTATATGAAAACTGCCTCGTAATGGTTCCTATCACTATGCATTTTGTCTTAGTTTTTTTTTTGTTGAAGATATATACGCGATTGGAGGAATTCAAAGTTCATATGTGTGAATTTAACAATAGAAGTCAGAATCACCACATATGAAAAATGAATGGTGAAGTATGACCTTTATCCCGGAATCAGTGGTAAAAAGAAGAATGCAAAATGAGTTGTAAACTGAGACCATTCGACATCGCACCCACGGGACATATTCTAACAGCCAAAAAGGTGAGTAAAGCAGCCTTGTTGCCAACAATTTGAACCGATGAACCCACACTTTTATACCATTAATTTGAACGATACGATATTTACTGGGTCTGGGCCTAAATATACAATTGAGGAAGGAATGGTTAAAAATGACTTGTACAGAATTTTCCTTAGTAGTTAGTACAAAGTAGCTAGCTTTAATTGTTCACTCTCGTACGTACATGCATGGATAAATCACTTAATAGTGCAACACCAAGCTAAAGTTTCACTATTCTTTTCCTTTCCTTACATCTTTTCTTTTTCCCTTTATCATTTTGTCATAACATGGAGAAAAAAAAAAACAGACACGTAGGTCCCATGATAAGAATTAAGTATCCTGCATATGGCCCCAAAAATAGCTAATTAGCCACAACCTTACAAACCCACAAATTCGTATATGATGTCTCTAGATTTCCATTTTCCGTTTAGTCTTTCAAGTGATTTAATTTTATAGAATTGAATTGAAGGTTGAGATTTTGACATGGGGAAACCCAATGCTATCTATCATCAATAGATCTAAATAGTACTTAGCTTTTTCATCTGTTACCAATAATATTAAATAATGTTAAACCCACCTACCATTCCTTAAAACCCTAATTAATTACAGTATTTTTTTTTTCTCTGCATGGAAGAGGTCTCTACCCATAAGATCAAACATGCATGTTGAATTATAAAAGATTTAAAGAGTCTGTGTGAACCTTATGATCATCAAAATGATTAGCTGCATGCCTTATATATTATACAATCTACAGCGGGGATGAATCTAAAAACAAAGATGGGATCCACCAATCTGCAGATTGGTGATTGATGGGGTGAGAAGGACCCACTGAATACTGCTTTAAAATGGGGGAAAGACAAGTTACTCTCTTTGCTATCACATGACTTTATTAGTTGGAGGCTTAAGGCTATCCCATTGGAATGGGATGGATCCATGTTCTTAATCTGTTAATTGCTTCTTTTTTTCATTGAAATTACATCAAACATGTTTAATTAATTATTTTATTATTATAAAAGAAGACCTGAATTTCCCATCCACATGCCCTCATGCTTCATCCCATGTGCCTTCTTTTTCTTCGTGTCATACTCTTTCTTTCTTTTTATTTTTATTTTTATATATGCATTTTGATAGTGATTTGTCAACTGCTGGTCCAGTTATGTTTTTTCTTATTTAATTCCTCCCTCGTGCCCATGCTTAGCTTTTATCAAGAGAAATAGGGCCCATTAATCAGAACCGTCCATCAGAGCGTACCTGGATATCTTACCATTACATTAATTGACACGTACGTAAACTTTGCTTCATATCTTTTTTAATTATTACTATAATCCAAACTTCCAAAGTTTAGTGTACTGATTAGCTTTAAATTTTTTTTAAGTTTTCGTGCTTTATTAATCTCTTTTACTTGTATACATATTCTATCTATCATCATCAACTTGCTTACTGGGAATTGAACTGGCCATTTCAAAAGGGACATTTGTGGTTGACCTCAATTAAGCCGGAGAAAATGAATCGATGGAAGTTGCCTTAAAATTAAAATTGACCTCCCAACCATCGAAATGCTACTGGTATCTCTTCTGAACTAAAATCGAACGAGATTTGATTATATATTATGCTATATCACTGTTGTCCACATAACTACTAGATTTTTATGTTAATTAAAAACTTTCGATCTTATCCTCATTAGTGTCCAAATAAATTTGGGATGTATAAAATAATGTAAACGTCATATAAATGGAAATATATTCAGATATTATTACCTATCAAATCTCATATAAGATATATCTTTATATATAATTAATTTATCTCACATTGGTCTTCAACTTCAACCTCCTATTCTGAAGCTTAAAGAACATTTTATCATATAGAGTAACATATATTGCAACAAGAGTGAAAAAAGCATTAAAGTTGCTTTCAGATGGTAAAGACCTTGACAATGAAATGTGAACTAAGTGATTATTAACTTGGCCAAAACAATGCTAAACCAAAGTCCCAAAACAAACCCACCCACCTGAACAAGGAAACTCAACTACTTTAAGTTTAACCAATGAAAGTCAATTACAGATTTATAGGTGACCTCGGATAGTACAAGTCCCTGAAAGGCATTAAGAAAAGAGTTTCGCCTTTCTTCCTTTTTGAACCGAAAAGCAATTTCCATGAGTTCTACTTTTCTTGTGCAGGATGACAAGGTTTTGTACGTATTTTAGCCCAAAATATCTCTTCTGCTAGTGGTCTAGTGTAAATTTGGGACCTCACACAATATAATTCAAACATTTACCATATTCATATGGTTAAGTTCAGCAGCTTTGATCTGGAGCTGACAAATTTCCGTCTCCCAAAAATAATCAAATTTTATCAATTCTTCTACCCACAATTTAGAACAAATTAAAGCAAGTTTCTTTCTTTTTTAGATGTTAAATTCTCTCAATTTTATCTTTTTAACTACATAATCACAATAATCTAAGGGAAGTGTTATTTATCCCCTTTTTGTGCCTTATTTTTTGGGCCGCCAAATTCATGCCACTTGTCCTTTGACCAAGCCGAATCCCAATGATCAAGATTGCCCCATGTGTTGTCTTCATGGCAAGTGGCTTAAACAATGACTTCGTCAGTTTAAGACATGATTATTCTGATTTGCGCATGGGTGAATGCTTGACCCAGAGCCGTTGACAGACAAGAATCCGGAAGGAAGGCTACCTCCATCTCAAAAGGAGGGAACAACCCGAGAGGTCACGCCGTTGAAGAACCTGCATCCAAGTTAAACATTATCCACACATTAAAAGCTAGCAACAAGTTAGACTTCAATTACAAGTTTGCTATTGTGACAGCCTATATAAATTGATTTCTTTCCTTAGGGGTGGGGTGGGGTGGGGTTGGGTGGACTCTCTCTCTTGATCGATTGATCGATTTTTCTTTCTCTCATTCATGTA